GAGTTTTACATTCTACTTATTTGGTTAACTTTTACTAAAATTGAATACTATTTTCTGTACAATTCTTAAACTTATCTGTTGTGTATTATGTATAGCTCACTGGCTTCTCAAGATGAAGCGCAAGGCTCATCTGTGATATGGAAAGGTCCACTGGCTTCTCAAGATGGAGCGTCTGAATCTCAAGTCACTCCAGCGTCTGAATCTCAAGTCTTACTCCTAATATTTCAGAAGCTCTCAAGTGTACGCAAGATTAGTCTCATGCGGATCTATTAGGTACTCAATATTTGCACTTGCCTCTTATTTTTATTGTGCAAATACCTTGTATTTATATAATAATTGTTGGTTAGACATTAGGTGATTGGAATTCCACTCGCTTTGCAGAATTTCAGAGTGTTCTAGAGGATGATGAAGAACAAATGGTAAAAAAAATTACAACCTTGTTGTTTGCACTTCAGATATTTTTCACTTAAATTGTAAGATTCTCTGTGTAATTAATTAAATCATGTTTTTTTGGTCTATAACGCGTGTAGGACGAACCTACTTCAGTCATCACTCGAGAATGAAAACCTGGAGCTACTGGTTGGCGGTTGTGTGGACAGTGCACTTTTTATTTACTAAAATCATGTTCGAAGACTTGGAGCTGTACTTTATTTTAAATAATTTTCAGTTGCTATTTGCCCCTTGGTTACACATGTAAACGTGTTATTTACTATGGTCAGGCTACCATTTTTGCAAACATAGTCATGCTATTTATATGTGGTTGTGATTGTGAGCTTGTCAACTGTGAATTAAAATCATTGTTTTATGTTTATTTGCCATTATTGAGGGTATAATATCGCATATTGTCGAGTTGCCCTATGGGTACCTGGTGGGTTTGGGTATGGATGGGATTTCGGGCCCGTGGGCATGGTATGGGTGACGTTTTGTGCCTGTGAGGTACATGGTCATGGGTGAGGTTATGGTTGCCTGGCCGGGGATAGTGGATTCGGCTACGGTGAGCATGGCAACGGCTAGATTGTCCCGACAGGCAAGTCAACGTTAGATGGCCGGATCCCAAGATGAAGGTATGTGTGCTTTCTTGCTAATGTGTTTGTTTGATGTGCTTGCTGCCATGGTTGAGATCCATCTGTGTTGACATCAGCTTTCTCGCGACGGCATGGTCCACGCACTCGACCACAACGACAACTCGGCGGTGGACACACCGAGGATGATGTACGTGCTCATGTAGGGTGGCCTCCTGCTGGTCCACGACGTTCTTTCCGGGTGGTGGCGCACCTGATGTCATCCACATCGTCTCGCAGAGGGCCGCATCCACCTGGACGATGACGCTGCCGGAGCACGGCGTCTGCCCGAACGATGACATATAACAGAAGATAGGTAAAATGTATCTAAATTTAATGTACAGAGTCGCAAAACTAGCATAGAGAGTTGACAATTCTGTTTTCCACTACTTATGTTATTTTCATTGGACCTTAAGCGGCACTCATCGGCTGTTGTTGTGTGTCTGCCTGCCTGGCAAGATTTCACCTATTTTTTTGACCTACTGGTGACTTATTTGAAACCTAAGAAAGAATTATTTTACATGTTAGATTATTCTTATATCCTCGAATTCATAAAATGCGTTGAGATAATGAAATAATGCGATAGAAGTAATTTGACCGGAAATAAATTATTTACCATAAAAAAGGAAGTGAAAAACCATATGAAGGATTATCAAGATTTGAAACAAAATATAGTTTCGTAGAGAGTAATTTACACCTATGGAAGTGAAATGTATGATATTTCTACTTTTAAATGGGACTTTGTTCCATCGCCTCCCCTCATTCTCGGTTTTTTCCACCTCACGTTCCCGTCCCCTCTTTGATTTCCTGTTGGTTTTTGGTATCCCCAACCAACATGGCACAAAATAAAAACCAACATAAATATAGTAAATTGGAATAATCTACACGAAATCGATACTTTTCCATAACCGTGTCTTGCATTAACTCAATCATATCAAATCAATCTTACCAGAATTTTAACTGAATCAAAACTTTTCTTACCTTCTCTTACCATGATATAATCAAATTAAATGTTATCAAAATCTAGAATATGGTGGATGTAAGGTATATGTCGGACAAGATTGATATTGAACCAATAGAATATCTATGCCCCCGTTGCAATGCATGGGGTCCAGGCATGGCACATCGCTCGCATTGCAACTGGCTTGTCTCCGAACTCCCCAAAGTAGGAGAGGGACCAGGAGACGGCGCCAAAATGGGAGGTGCAACATAGGTGTGTTGGATTCATTTTCGTGCCCACTAAAGGTTTTCCTCGTGCAAGTAGAGGCACCATAGCCCTCGCCCATTGCTGGAGACGATGTTAGTGGATCGATGGTTGTAGGGAACAACGTTACGATGAGATGCAATAGGAGAGAGAGAGAGGTGGGGGAGAGAGAAAAAGGTGACAGTGATATGATGCAAGGGGGGCAATGATTGGAATGACTAAGGGTGTGGGCAATAGACACTGAATTCGTATTCGGATAAAATTCCTAAACATATAGTTTTTTGTTGTATAATGCGTTGGTCAACTTGATGATCTAGGAACCTGTGGATGTCCCATGCACCCGTCTAGAGGGAGTAGTCATCTTTTCCTCTTGCATTTGTTAATTCAGGGATTCACTTCAATATACGCACATTAGACTTATTTTTCCAAACACGACAACTTTGCTACTCCATTGAATAACATACCATGTGTTGGTATTCATCGTTATAAATAACACAAAGAAATTTTTGTTCATCACTAATCTGTATCAATATGTGTTGTGTTCTCTCTCAAAGAAGTGAACTCTGGAAACCCTCCTCATTCTGAACAATGAAAATTCTGAGGTTGAAAGTACAAACTTGATACAGCATGAAAGACATGGAGAAAAAATGGCCGTATTTGGAGCCGGATGGAAACATGGGCGGATTTGGAGTAGGGTGACGATGGAGTAGACTGGTGTTGCAATGACCAAAAGAGCTGAAGTGAAGGAATAGATGGAATGACAATGATGCAACCTTGTCATGTGATTCTTGTATGTATATTTGAGGTCCATAGGAAAATAAGTATTAGTGAGATAAAGTGACGGAGATGCATCTTAGGTGGAGATGAAAGCAGAGCCCAGTTAAACAGAGCATTATTAGTTTGTGAATGAACATGTGGTGGAATAATGTTCTCATGTTCATATGCCACATTTTCTTGTGATTTGTACTAAGGTGAGGTGCCTTGTATCTCATCCTTTTTATCATGTTCCATGTTGCATGACATACGTAGTAGACATAGAAGCCACATGCAGTGTCAAAGGGGCAATAGATTGAGAGGATGGTTGATGTATGGACAAAGAGGGCTAGGGAGAACAACTTCAACAGAAACGAGAGGCTAGAGGGGTGCATTGCGTTTGTTGGAATAGAGAGAAGATACTTGTGTTTGTGTTGTGGTTGAACATTGGGTGCAATGTTTTCATTCGGGGAGAGAAATATGAGCATCGTTTATAAATTTAATTTTTGGCCCGTGGCAACGCACGGGCAGTCTACTAGTCATGAGCTATAGGTAAGTCATTTCATTCTCCACCTTGCACGGGTTGTACTGATTTTTATCATGGTTTGCCCCCCTGCCGTACAAGCCGCTCGATTCCTCCTCCCTCGCTCAATTCCTCCACCATATCTTCTTCTTCATGGTGAGCGACCCAGGCAGCGATGTGTGCCCGTTATGCATCAGCAAGGAGGACCAGGAAATGTTGATTGCCAGCCCCGCGCTCGTCACGTGAACCCGTTCACCGTCAGGTCATGCTGGTGTGTTACGGGTGTAGGTGCACCTTACCTTAGCCATGGAGGTTTGCCGGTGGACAACAGAGGCCTCACCATGGACACCAGTATCCCTCTCCTCTTCCTGCGCCCTACCTCTCCTTCCTCAGTCTCTACCTCTCTCTCTCTTTTTCTCTGTTCCAGGAGATCTGCAGCCGACGCTGCAGGCCCTGCCCGTTCGCTGCCGGTCACCTCGCCTCGCTGTTCGATCTCACCGCTGGATATGCACGACTCCGCCGCCCTGTGCCGTCCTCGTCGGGCACCATCATGGCGGCGCGAACACTGTATGCAGTGGCTACAATCAGCGGTAGTTGGTAGTGGTAGTAGTATATATCTTTATGTGATTGGTCACAAGTTGTAGTTGGTAGTGGTAGTAGTATATATCTTTATGTGATTGGTCACAAGTTGTAGTTGGTAGTGATAGTAGTATATATTCACTATAATTGTTTGTACGAAATCACATTAAAAAAATCACACATAAATCACAACAATCGCGTGCAAAAACACATAATCTTACCATATTTCATAGGGTGCTATCATTTTTCATGTTTGTAGTTGTATGAGAATATTAAATGTATTATTAACATGATTATTAAATGTATGAGAATATTAACATGATTAATATTGAACTCTTAAAGTTAACAGATTAATATTGAACTCTTACCATATTTTCATATGTCACTTGATATGTATGAGAATATTAAATGTATTATTAGCATGATTAATATTGAACTCTTAAAGTTAATGTGGCCCTTCTGCAACGCATGGGCGTTCTTCTAGTAACCTTCAAAATTCCAAACATGATTTTTTGTTCGAACATAAATTTGTGGATAGAAAAGATGCACACTATAATTCTGTGGACAGCAATCATCAAATCAAACACACTGTTGAAAACGAGATGACAATTGCGTGGCTGTCATCAACAACAAAAAAACTCTAAAATAAGTAGAACCCGGCGAGAAGCCGTCTTCCTGGGACAGCGACTCCAGTGTGGTTCTTCCTCCGGAGAGAAAAGGCAGGCAGTGCGCCACCATAATAAATCCCCGTCTCCGCAGACCAGTCCGTCCGCTCCGGTAATCCATCCATCATTGGCTCCAGCCGATTCACGCACACTCGCCGTGCCGAATTCCCCCGTTGTTTTATCCACGTAGTAGATGCCGCAATTATCTCCCTCTCATGCGCCTCTTGCCTTGCAACTTGGATGCATTTGATTTGATCCCCTCCCCCCGTCCCTACGCGGCCTGTGGGGTATCATCAAGAAGCAGAAGAAGAAGAAGAAGAAGAGAAGACGAGGCTGCCGCTGCCACCATCTTTGTCGGCTGGCTGGCTCCGAGAGAGACCCACCTCGCCTCCTCTTCCTCCCTCTGGTCCCCGCTCCCGGGGAGCACCCCTTTTAGTGCAAGATTCAATCTGCTCCTGCTCCGCTCCTGCTCTTGCTCCTCCTCGCCCCGCAGATTCGCCTCCCTCCTCCTCCTCGCGCGGCGGTTCTTGATCCGCTCCGGTCCGGTCCTGCCGTGCGCCGCTGCTCCGGGTCCGGCCAAAGGCTGCTGCTTGCTTGCGGGGTCCGTGGCGGCGGGCGGCTGGCTGCGTTCCGGCGGCGGCGGCTCGATCTGCGCCGGGGCTCAGATTTGATCGGCGTGGCGCGCTCCTGGAGCCCGGGGTTCCGATTCGGCCGCGCTCCGGGTGTGCTGCTGCCGCTGCCCCAATTCCCCGACTTTGATGAGGCTCTCGCACTGTGAGACCTACTGCGCCGCCCCCCTCTGCTACATCCCCTGCCTCCCCAAATCCAAAGATGCACCACCACCCGCCGCCGCCGACGCCGTCGCAGCGGCCCCCTGCCCGGTCGAGGACAAGCCGCCCCAGGTCCAGAAGATTGAGGTCGTCGCGCCGGCGGCGGCCGACAAGGATGAAGACGACAAGGAGCACGAGCACGGCGACAAGACGGCGCCGCGGCCACTACCCAAGAGCAACCTCAAGAAGGCCAACTGCGGCGAGGACGGCGTCTGCGCCCCCAAGGGCAATGTGAAGTGGCTCGATTTGCTGGGGAAGGATCTCACCGAGGTCAAGGAGTTCGAGCCAAGGTATACACACCACACCACCATCCCCCTCCATGAATTTTTCCAACTGAATTGGGCTGTCTTTGCCGCTGTTGCCCATTCACCAGGATGGATGAATTATTGTCTTGTGACGTGTATGCAATTAACTAGGCGAATGTTTTGCATGCTCCGATTTTAGTAACCCAAGGGTGTGCACCAAAGACCCGATCCTCCCGGGATATTAAATCATACTGCGCGTTGTGCGAGCGTTGACATGCGCGAATGAAACCATTCCCACGGTGCCAGATGCGCGCCTGTTTTCCTTAATCTATCTTCAATGATGTCTCACATTGCATTGTTTTGTTCTTCCTAGAAATCTGCTTCTCGATACGGGGAGGGGACAGGTCACCCAGTATTGTACTACAACTTGGAACGACCCGGTCATGATATTTACTTCGGATGCGGATAGATAGATAGGTCTTACTGCCCCGGCAGTCCGAGAGACATCCTTCTGATGCACTGCATTTCTATATGCTTGGTTTTGGTGGGGAGTAGATGACAACAAGATCAACTTCATATACATGTGTTGGACTTGGTATCTAAGCGAGTTTTGTTTATTCCGAGAACTTAGCTATGACTTCTGAAATGTTGGCAGCCAGTTATGTAGATTGTGTTGGCATCAGTAATCTTCTAGATTCTAAATTCCACCATCTAAACTTTAGCAAAGTGGGCTCAGGGCATGCTTTCCACATGTGTATAATAGCGTAAATTGTGTGGTCAATAATTTTGGAGTCTCCCCTACAGTTTCCTGATCAGAAAGTAATTCTGGGGCCATACCTATTTTATTTATACTCTTAGTTTTAGGCCATGTTCATGATATTGATTTTTTGAGCCACATGATTTCAGTAGTCTTTTTTCTGTTTTAAGACGATTGAAATGACAGCAGCTCTCCGCAGAAAATTGTAGTGTAGCCTTGTCATAGTCTCATAGACTCCTTGTCAACAGTGGTTTACCAACCAAACTAAACTGTAAAATCACTGGTCATCACTACTAACTACCACTTCGCAACAAGAAAATTCCTCATTGCCTCGTTATTTCGCTATCACCTTTTTGCCAAGTGACAACTTTTGTTACAGTTTAATTCTAATAGAAAATGCTTCATGGAACTATATCATGATGATTCACAATTGAGTGGCATGTTCCTATTTCACCGGTCTTATCTTGAAGCAAGCAATAAAACAACAAAGCAAACCACTTTTTGTGCTCCTTTATCGCGATAGACGGACCTTGGCGTGTACGGAAATGAATTCTTGAGCGACATTTACCTTGGTAGAGATATTATGCTTGTTCTCATGGCTCGCTGATCGTTGACTTCCTTGACTGCTTATTAAACTCACAGTGTGTCTGTCTCCTGTGATGATTTCAGCGAATCCGGAGACTCGATGGACGACGAAGGCATCTCGACGTGCGTGTGCGTCATCCAATGAACCCAAGAAGGAAGGCTCATGTACATTTCTGTGAAAATTAAGGGGCGCCCAGCATTCGTTGCGTGTACCAGTTTCATCGGTGCATGCCGCCATAGCTGCTGCTTAGTAGATGTAGTAGAGGGGGTGGGGGTTTTCTGCTGGTTTTATCAGTCTCAGATCGGTCGTGGGTGCGTGTTCTTGGGTGTGGGGGTGGAGCTTTGTGTGCTGGAGTTGATACAGTGCGTTTGACGCTCCTCTCGGTCGGGTGGTGTTGTAGTTCAGGGTTGAGACTTGAGAGTATTGCTTCTGTAAAGTTCCCAATACAAAAGATGGTATTCATCGGAGTCGGAAGACATAGAGATGATGCTGTGCTGTGCTGCTGGTTACTTGGATGGAAGAAGAGAACAAAGGTGCACATGCTTATATGTGCTGGGAACATGGGGATGTAGTAGTGACCTTTTGCACATGGGTGTGCCCACTCCATTGTGCAAAAAAGAAAGTTCTAAAAGAATACTCTGCACATTTTGGAAAAAATCATACTTCCTCCGATCCATGTTACTTGTTTCAGTTTTTTCTAGATACTGATGGATACG